AACAATTTCAGCTGTATAGTGCTGTGACAATTTTATTCACGTAAAATGTGTGTGTGTATGTTGAAACACGGAGGAATACTAGTGAATAATATTTTGTTTTGGTTTACATCATTATCATCGTCTGATATAAAACTTGAGCATTGTATTTAAGAGAACCATTAGATAGGAAAATCATGAAGAGGCATATTTTATAGGATTTTTGTAGACTGTTTTCATCCACAAATTAAAAAGAAACAGATCTGATATGACAGGAAGAAATGTCAAAATTCTACCGATTTACTCATTATGAGTTTTATTCAACGTTACTTCTGTTTTGATTCAATGTGATGATTATTTAGTGTAGTATTCGGTTTTGTTTACCCGTATAATATACGATATTCTTGTATTCAGTTGACATGAACTATGCTCATTATGTGGTTTATTATATATGTGGTTTCATTCTAATTATTAATCAAAATGGGTGTACAATCAATATACAAATGAGTGTATTTTTTACTAGGGTCGTTGTCGTTGTGTTTTGGGTGTTATTAAATCTTCACTTAGACCAGTCTTTGTGTTCTTACTTTCGCGTCGTGGGAATTCCACAGATTGCACGTTTCGAGTATAAGTGATAAGCGTTTCCAACACGACAATCAGCGACGACCAGATATAACAAAGTAGTATTCAAACAACAAGACATCAAAATTGAAACTGGATACACAATGATATTTAAATTGTACATGACAAGAAAAACTACAGTAAGTAATTTATATGGTAGTATTTTAAAAATCTTTTTTCTTGTCACTGAACTGAGGATTTTTAACGCTTGTTTTTACTGATAGATCTTGTTTTATTAGGATTAAAAATTGTGATCTGATTCACTCATCGAGTAGTTAATAAATTAAGACTTTAAAACTGAAAATATCCATTTTGTATTATTTGTTTGAATTTCCCCATTGATATTTAGGATTGCGGTTGGTCAGTCTCTTATTGGTATATGTGCATCCTGTGCGGATTTCCCCATTGCACGAGCTAGTGGCTATCTGGGCTCAGTAGCAATGGAATTTGAAGAGAACGGTACTGGGTTTGGGTCCCTGAGTGAACATCAATTCTGGGATGCAGTTACATCCAGTTGACGAGTAAAAAATGGGACGAAACCCACGTCCTGAATTCTGTTGATAGCGGGATCGTAGATGCGCACTACTAAGGAAACCTATACTGGGACGAAACGGCCGTCTAGTGCTCCCAGGCTTTACATGGTGGTCTACCTTAAATCGACCCATGAATTCAATCACTAAATTTTTAAGATAGTGTTTAAAATTCATAAGAATTATTTTTAGAAAACAATAGATCAGTATTTCCTACTTATCGATACTAAACATTAATGTATGTCTACATGATTTTTAAGGCATTAGATTCAACTTTAACTGTTATAGGCGGTATGAAATTTACTGAGATGAATATGATCTTCAAACCAAGCATATCTAAGTATTGGATATATTCATGCAAATGAGTCAAATAATCTAGATTGGATGAGCATTTTCCCAGATTCTAGTACCTATTTACTTACAGTTGTAATATGACAATAAGATATCTGTGAATAGGTTCTAAATTCTGTGGGTATATTGATTAAAACCAGTACATAAAATAAAATGTCAATGACTTACTAACTTTATTATGAACTTTGTACTTGATGTGTACACGTTGACTGAATACTTCAAACCAGGTTAATTTCATATAAGTTTTGGTCACATTCTTACAATAGTATATGTTGATGAACGTGTACAAATAGTTTCACAGATATAAAAGCGAATTCTCAAATGTTTTTTTTCTCAATCAAGCAATGGTTTACAATGTCTGTGTAACAAATTATTGAAATTTTGAGGCAATATAACAACTACAATATTATCAGACAGGGTTTTGTGGACATTTTAGAAATTTCACTAGTTGAAATCATGAATCAATTGAAGCTAGACCACCGTGAAAGACCCGGAAGCACTGGACGACCGCTTCGCCATATTGTGGGACTCTTCAGCAGTGCGCATCTACGATCCCACCTTGCGAGATTCGAACCCAGGACCTATCAGTCTTGCGCGCGAGCACTTAACCATTAGACCACTGAGCCGGCATCCAATAGTGTTAATGTTCAACTTCAACCAATCCACGAGATTGCGCCACGGTACACTACAATGTTGTCATAAAACGTCAATATAATATGCTTTCAACTGTAAAGAACCTGACAGATAAAACTTTTCTTCTTTGATCATAACTTCAATTATTTTTGGATGAAATGAGTGATTTAATTTAGAGTAATCAGTGTTTTTAGTACAGTTATACAATAAACTTTTAGGAAACTACTTTTAAGGTAACTAATCTATTTAATAACAATAAAATAAACTATACAGATATTAATTTAATAATTGAATTCATGAGTCAACTGAAGCTAGGTCACCATGGAAAACCTAGAAGCACTGTACGGCCATTTCGTCCTACTGTTGGACTCGTCATCAGTACTCATCCACGATGCTGTCCCGCGATATTTGAACTCAGGACCTAGCAATCTACAATCTCCGCAAAACCCTTGTCTGAATGTAGATATTACATATATATGGATGGTTTTTCTTAATTAACTTACTTAATTTTATTATGCAGTATCTAAATTATCTTGTGATGTCACTAAAATTCTTTTTAACATTTCATAAACATTAAGACATTAACTTTAACTCAACAAGTAAAATATAACATAAAGTAATTTTCCACTTCAAAATGCCTAATCATATAGTTTATTGAAGTTGACTACCGCTTATCTAAAATTTTTTTCTACTGAAAGCAGATATGATTAAGGTATTTCATATACTTAGATCAAGTGATATTCAAAGTAAAGATGATAAGAAAGTGGTTTGTAATTAACCTTGAATTTAATTCGATGTGAGAGAATGAAGTGAATTAATTCTGCATATTTTATTTATCACAATAACCTTAGCTATTTCATGAGCTTTTCAATCAAGATTAAATTTATGAGTTCGGTTTTACGATAATTGATAATGATGAGTTTTAGTTCAGTTATAAATTTCCTTTCACTTTTTCTGTAACCATTTTATTTTCACTATCGATATTTATTGGAATTTGTTTACGCAAATCATCAAACTGCATCACGAGGTAAGCCCTAACTCGGAATCCTGAAGGTAAACGGAAAAGAGGAAGGCCAAAGAACAGATTACGTCGAGAAATAGAAGCAGATATGGAAAGGATGAATAGCAACTGGAAGGGATTGCCGAAAACAGGGTTGGATGGAGAATGCTGGTGAGTGGCCTATGCTCCTTCACGAGGAGTAACAGGCGTAAGTACTTAATTAAGTAAGTTTTTAATATCATTAGAAGTTTTTTTTATTTAAATTTGTTAAAGTCAATAAAAATCATAATCTAATAATGTTTGCTCACTTCACAAATTGTGCACTTTACTTCTATTCAGAACTACATGTTAAGTCTTCACCATTAGTATTTATCACTTACAAGAAGATGATTTATGCTATTTACCACAGACACATACAAACAACTTTCAACAAACTTGAAGTTTAATTGCATTTAACATTCTATCTTTGTATTAAATCTTAATTACTGAGTAAAACTACTAAATTTTATAGGTTTTCTTTGGAATTTATCCGTATAGTTCTTGATATGGTAGAGTATCAAGTTACTAATATCCTATTTTCAATCAAATGATCATGCCATTAAGTTAAATGTTAAGTGGTTCGGATGAGTCGTTTGTTTTTTTTTATTTACGGAGTATGTTTTCTTCAGTCAGTTATAGTTTAAGTATAATGATAGTGTACCAGATTATTGTAAATTATAATCCATAGAGTTATGTAATTGTTTCTTAATTTCATACTTTGAATTTTCATTGAACATTGTGAATTACTGCCGTTTGTTTAATTCTGAGTAAGGAATATTCAGTTGAATTCTTATGATTTATAAATAGGCCTTTACATTATTATATATATGTTCTTGCTTTCTATTACAGTGAGACTGATAAATTATTCATGCATTTCTATTCAACATGGGAAGTCTAAAAAAAAGAAGCAGAATTATGAACAAAGGATATTCTTTTCAATAACTTAGTCAATTCTTAGCCAAATACATCTTTTATAATTAGAACGTTTAAATTTAAGAATGTTGGTAACATAGTATAAAATTGTTAGTGCTGAAATGACTAGTCTTACAGTGGTTACTTAAATAGGTTTACAGGTCAAATGAAACCATAAGATTGATAATCAAACACTCAACCTCTAGACCACCAAGTCGGCATCCAATGGTGTTAAACCGAGTCAGGTAGGGACAGGTATCTACCTTGGTGCAATGGAAGATGGTCGTGCAATTTCGTGGATTGGTTGAGGTTAGACATTAACAACGTTGGATGCCGACTCAGTGGTCTAGAGATTAATTGTTCGCGTGCGTGATCAAAGGCTACGTGTTCGAATCCTGCATGCGGGGTCATGTATGCGCACTGCTGAGGAATCTCATAATAGGACGAAACGGCTGTTCAGTGCTTCCAGGTTTTCAATGGTAGTCCAACATCAACCGGTTTATGATCTCAACTAAAAACTTAATAATCTCTACAACCCCATACTAATGATTGTATGAATCATATCACTGGCAAACCATTTATATGTAATCTGATCGTCAAAATTTACTATACAAAAGCTTTTTAGTGCACTGCACTTCATCCCAGAAAATATTCCATATAAGTTTGTGTTCATCATTCTCATGATTCTTAATTTCCCTTTTAAACTATAGAAAGGCTCTTATCTTGAAACATCCAACAAAGAAGTCACTTTAATCATTTGTGCACTTTAATCAGGGTTTTATTAAATGGATGATTTTCACCCTAGTTACTTACTAGAGTATCTATAACATTTGAATGATAAACATAATAAAAATTGTGGGAGTCTTAGTGATAAATGAAAATAAGGCATTAAAGATCCACCCCACCCCCCAAAAAATAAAGCAAACCTGACTAGTTCGGGGAATAGAATTTTATTATTATTGAGAACTGTATGACATGGAAATAGAATTATTCATAAATTAATGTCAATCGAATGGTAGTTAACAGTCAAATCATACAAATTCTATTAGAAAAAAAATTACGTAATCTTGTAACTAATGAGATTCTGTTCACTTTAAATGTGTGTTTTTTTCATCTCCAAAAGATAACCATCTTATTGTTAACTTATCAATTAGTAAACACAATTGACTTTAGAGATACAATAATAAGAAAGTTCTAATAAATCACTTTAAAATACAAATAAAAAATTGAATAGGTAAAGTTAACTGAATTTTAAGTGTGAACCTTATCTCATACTTTTTAGAAGGACTAAATTGAAATGAAAGTGTCTTATTCATAATTTGAATTCATTGTAAAACAATTTTACAAGTGACGTTTAGTTATTAAATCCAAATTAAATAATGATAATCTAAACTGATGTAGATACATGATGAACTAACTGGATAGTCTTTCTTTAAAAGCAATACTTATACAATAGAACAAATTGAATAATATTGCCCAACAAAATGAAATATGTTTAGAGACTAGTAGCATAGATGTTAACATAAAGATGAGTGAAATACATTATGAATATGCCAAAAATTCTGAATTCAGATAATGAATTTCATTTTGTTAAATACTACTGAAAAAAAAAAGATTTTCAGTACTATTGTATTTTTTGTGTCCATAATCTATTATTAGTTTTGTAAATGATAAGCAAAATGTTTGCCGTAATATATTCTGATAGCTACAAAAGGATCGTATGAATCACATCATTTTGTGTGATGGTATACCATTATTATTGGGTTAATTTTTAAGCAGGATTATTTATGATGAACTTGATTGTGGAATACCATATTGTGAAAGACTGCTTGCATTTAGACAATAAGGATAGAAGTCAACAGGCTGTAAATATGTTTCTTTTGTTGACAATTCACTGTTAGATACAACTTGCTTATTCAAGCCAATGCAACTTGAAACAAATGGATTTGATTCAAAACGTAAAATGTTATGATTTTTATTGTCTGATTCATTTAAAATACTGATATTTTCTATACTGTGTTTTAAGATAATATTATCATTATCTGGTTTGAACGACTGATTGTCAATTGAAAAGCCTTGATTTTGAAGAGGCCGTGGAGTGGATAACCATGTTTGAGTAGAACCATGGAACTTTACATCATGTACTTGTTCTGATTTTGTTGAAACTAAATCGTGAACTGAATGGTTCTCGTATAAGGTAGACTTTGAAAATGCCTGAAAAATTGCAGATTTATTGTCATGAGTTAGGAATTCATCTTTATTTAATGATAACTTTTCAGTGGTTGGTATATCTGTAGTATGCTTCGAATGTGTAGGATCGCATACAACGGAGAAATTTAAAGACTGATTCAAATCTTCAGGTTCTTCTGAACAGTTGCTGTCTGTATCACCTGGGGATGGAAATTTACATTTTTATATCATGAAACATGAGCAAAATGTAAGTAAAGAATTACGAAAAAATAGTTTTAAGAATACTTCATAGACTGAAATTTCTTTTTCTTACTCCAGAGAAAGTCTCAACATGGATTATATCTATTATCTTAAAAGAAACAGAGAACATCTTCATGGTAATTCCTAAATTCTGGTGTTTGCGTCACTGGTAGTGACACAATAACGAGTATTTTCAATCTGACACCATTTTATATCAAAATAAGGGAAGAATCAAGTCAAATAGTATAGGCTACCAAAGTAACACTCATCGGAATCAAGAACTCCGCATCTAAATACCACTAGACTTTTTACTGAAAATTGTTATCGTAAGTTACTTTTCGAATATTAACTTAGTCCAATTGTTATAAATATCTCCAAAAGCTAACTACTTAAAAGTTTGCAAAAAGATTACAAATATGGAGTGTTTAAATTGGTAGCCAATGATTCTGTGAATTCGTAAACCTATAACCCCTATATTAAAGTTATTTCATAAACCAACTGAAACATTTGTAATCTAATATGGGATCATAAAATCTATCCAATAAAACTTTATCTCTGTTACTTTTCTAAGAGCCACTTGAAACTAATAAATCTTCGAATGAAACCACTTGTTACTGATTTAGTGTAGTTATGTAGTGAACGAGAATACAAGTGGGGACAATCAATTGTATTTGAACACAAAATTACCGAATTTCTTAGTAAAATCTGAGAACCATACAGTAAATACTTCATTTTAAAAATATCAGTCAATCGTCTCAGACTTTGTTGTTCTTTCGTTTCCACATCAATCATTCTCTGTTCTCGTTATATTTTCTTCGATCTTCTTAACCTTCTGCTTCCAAACATTCTATTCCTGACTAGCGTTATATACTACTTAAGTAACACACACCAAAGTCACACAAAGAGTAGAATTCATTCTTATCTTAGCAGAGATTACAATGCTACATTTACTAAACTAGCTTTAGAATATTAGTAAAGATGTGAAGAATAATTAACTTTTCTGTCAAAAACCCACATTTTTTTCAAGTTGACAAGTGTAAAAAAGGTAATTTTAGTTTCAATAGTTGGGATCATGAGTCAATTGAAGCTAGACTACCATGGAAAACCTGGAAGCACTGGATAGCCGTTTCATTCTATTGTGGGACTTCTCAGCATAAATCACATTGCGAACGAATAGATATCAACTTCAGGTACCGATACTGTAGAATGATGATATTTTATTTCCTTGTCATTGAATTGTTAATTTATTTTAAATGATCGAATTATGCTATCATACGGACAATAATTAATGTAACTATAAGAATAGGAAGATATCATATTATAAATCACATTATGTTAAAAGAAAGAATGCGGTAGAAATTCATTAGTACTTCAAAAGTTTCTTCAGGGACAGTTCCATAAAGTGAACTATTTGATTATACTATATCTTTTTGAACTTATCAAGGATAATCTTATAAATCTCAAAAACACATAACATTTGTACATAGTTACTGCTGATGAATTACTTAACATCTTCAAATTGTTTCCTTATTAAATGAAGACACTCATTGAGTAACAAACATTCCTAATAATTATCTAAACTGTGTCCTACTGATGGATAGGAATAAAATCGGTTGAAGATTGTAGATAGCTAGACACTAGATAGAATTACTAAGGTATTTTACTTCTATCTTACTATTTCATCACTTAAATTCAAAAACTTGAGTATAAGTGAAAGTAGACTTACTTGAACCAGAACCCTGAAATTCATCCTTAGATAAATATTCATCTCCACTAGTTGAATCATCTAATATAATTGAATTATCACCGCAGTATGGTGCAGAACTTTTATCTAAATCATTTGAACATGTTGAAAATAAGTATGGTTCATTCATACAAACAGGTGTATTACTATTAGTACTTGTATTTGCACTGCTGATTAATAAAGAGTCAGAAATTGACCAGATATTCCTTCCAGCATCTTTTTTTAATCTTTTCTCTTTTGCCCTAATAAATAAGATGCAAAAACATTTAATCCTGAAATTAATTTAGCCAATTAGTTTTAATGTTTACACACTATTCAAACAAAAGATTGTCACTACATCATATATTCTGACTTTATCTTACATTAAAAAGCCTTAATTACAGTAAGTATAAGCTAAGAAGTTTTATCTATCAAGATCGAGGTAAAGTTGTATTATTCAATAAAGGGTTTTGGGGCTTGTCAAGTCTTTGATTGAGATCATGAGTCGATCAATGATAGACCGCTACTGAAAGCGTGGAAGCACTGAGCAGCCGGTTCGTTCCAGTATCGGACTCCTCAGAAGTACGAATCCACGATCCCACATACGCGACTCGAACCCAAGACCTTCAATCTCTCGCGCAAACACTTGATCTCTAGACCACTGAGCCGGTATCCAACGTAGTTAATCTTCAACTTCAACCAATCCACGAAATTATGCGACTATCTTCCATTGTCTGAGGTAGATACCTGTCTTTGCCTGACATGGATTAGCTCCACTGGTCACAGACTCTCACTAGAACTCAAAGAATTCCCTCACGAAGCTAGTCACTAGTGAGCCGATGGTAATTATCAGTAAGGGATTATGGAGACTGTTAAGTTGTTGATTGAGATCATGAATTGTATTGATTTTATTTTTGTATAGATTATATAATCCATCTAACTGGTCATGAAGCTGGACCAGTTATCAAATATGTAGATTACAATTAGGGTCAAAAGAAAGAAAAGAAGTATATTAGGATTTTAACTAGTGAACTCAAAGTGTTCATTGGAAACTAATCCCAACGAATACAAAAATTATATTCACTTGGTGTTATTTCACTTGTATCTTCCCATTGTTAATTACGACTACAATTAATCAGTCTCTTGTTGGCATATGTGAATCCTGTGCGAACTGCCTCAATACTGCCTGAAGTCACAAGCCTTATAAGCAAAGATTGGTAGTGGCTAGCAGTGGAATGGAGGACGCGCGTTTCGTTTTATTCGGGACTCGTCAGCTGGATATGCCTGAATCTCAGAGTTGATGTTCACTCTGGGACTCGAACCCAGTATAATTTTCTTTAAACGCCATCGCGTTATCCATTTGGCTACTGAGTCCTGATAGCCACCTGCTTGTGCAATAGGGTAAAGTTATATTCACTTGATGTTGTTTACTTGTATCTTCCCATTGTTATTGGCTATCAAGACTCAGTAACTAAGTGGATAACGCGATGACGTTTCAAGCGAACGGTACTAGGTTCAAGTCTCAGAGTGAACATCAAAACTGAGATGCAGGTACATCTAGCTGACGAGTCCCAAATAGGATGAAACACGCGTCCTCCATTCCACTACCGTAGAAGATATAATATCAAATCCGTTGTTTGAAAACACTTAATAAAGTTATCAGAAGTTAATGTTGATTATATTGACTGTAAATCATTTCGTTAGTAATGATAAAATTTTCATTTCTATCTAAACTCTTTTAGTCACTTTTCTATTTTATTTATATATTACTTTATATTAAATATATATGTATATTGCTTATATCAGTCATTTACAAAATTAAACCACTGAATCTTCTTCATTCCCCCCCACCATAAATACATCAAATATAATGAAATTAATATTCATCTACCAGTTTAAACTACTCACAATAGTAATCTATTCTGTTTTCATTCATAATATTTACTGAACTCATCAATTGTACAATGATTTGTTATACTCAGTGAAATTGTCCTTTCCTTTTTTTAGAATAATTAAACTTCTTGGCATATAAAATTTAGATATTATTATACAATCTATCTCTTACATTAGTTCCTCTGTACTGCTATATATATATATATATATATATATATATATATATATATATATATATATATATATATATATATATATAACTCTTGAGGGAATAAGTGAATATCTTTTCAGAGTAAAAGATGAAGAACTTTTTCAAGTCTATTTATAATCAGCCAAATAAAATATATAATTCGATAACAGTACAGAGAACTTAATATACATTTATATATGCTGGAGTAGATAATGAAAAAAGAAAAAAAAGAAAAAAGAAAAAGAAAAGAAAAATAGAATTCACACGCATACAATTGAATATGTGAATAAGTGAAAAATGGACAGAGAAAAACGAAAACCCCATGCATAACTAAAAATTCTTTAAAGTAGTTTTTCTTTTTTTTAATATTTTTTGCAAGGGTGGTTATATGATGAATTATGCATTCCAGTGGAAATGCAAAATCTATGCATGAATGAATGAATGAATTTTGGAAATCCATTCACTCATCATCATCATCATCATCCATTCAAAAGCCAATAAAAAAAGCAATACAACAACCACAGTAGAAATAAATATTTATTTTTCATCAACCAGAAATGCTTCTCTTCTCGTTTTTTTTTACCTTGGGGAATATTTTGTATTTTCTTACTACGTACACATATACATAAATGAAATTTAGAATGATGATAGAAGTAGAGAGAGAGAGAGAGAATGGAGAGAAAAGAAAAGAGAAAGGGAGATAGAACTAAAAATAAATAGACAGTAAAATAAATACGATAGACAGATAGATAGATAGATAGATAGACGGATGTGAATACTCTGTGTACTTTTTTTATTTAACCAGTGGTTGGTGTAAAAATGAAGGTGGTTTTGAGTGAAAAATGAAATTGATAGAAAAGCAGCGTAAAAAATGGATGATTTTCCCAATTTTTTTTTCACTTCTTATGCACATCATACATAGATTTATTACATTTATGTACCACGGTTATACTTACTGTAAAGACGAAGTTATTCAATTTAATGCTAATTCAACATAACATCTTATATTCATTTTAGTCAGTATGAAGTTAGTATTGGTAGAGATTAGGTAAGCACCACATTAGATATTCAGCTCCATATCCAATGAGACTAAACCATCACAATTAATCTTGCCTATACTAATTACTTACTGTGTGGACCATGGTTTTAAATTATGTAGATTTTAAGAATGATAGAGCTGTATCTCTCAGTTGGAAATGTAGGCTAAGTGATAATGCACTTTTTCGATATTGATCGGTTGAAATCAGCCAACAGAAATCCCTTAATCAACATTTTCTCTCTACTATTTAAGAGTGAAATGTATTTGCAGTCTTAAGAGGAATGGTAATTTTTTATAGGTTTGAACTAACATGACTAATTGACATAATTAAATAAGTTACCATTGAGCTATTCCAACGGTTACTCAACCCCAGTATGTTTACATTAATATGTAATTGATTTCGTGTTGTGCGCCTCTTAGCTTTGAACTTAAGGTAATGATCTTCTTTTATTCTACGAGATCCCTGAAAAACTAGTAATTACATATATACATCAGGTCTCTCGTTGAAATAACCATCATCATTATCATTGGCAATATGATCATTCAGGAGTTTTTATTTTATTGTAGTTTTGACATATATATTTACCTTGAATAAATGAAATACATCTATACATAATATTTCTGATAACCTAAGTATTTTTCAGTCGGTATTTGAGTTTTCGATTTTCGATATCATCTGAAGTTAGTCATTTTAATAAATATTTAAACTTACCTACGATTTTGAAACCATACTTGTACTACACGCATATCTAAACCAGTCTCTTCACTAAGTTGTTCTCTGATATGACGTACCGGTTTTGGACTTTCACCATAAACTCTTTTAAGTGCTTCCAGTTGTTTAGCTGAAATAGTTGTTCTAGGACGTTTATTAGCATTGTCTAATTCTGCTTCTAAAAAATATAGATGTAACGTAATTCATTTACTTAGTTAAGTATATTTATAATTCAAAGGGATCAAATGGTAATATAAATACATATGCACATTTTTTAAATATTACAATGAAGTCATTGCATTTCCTGTAAATACAATTCACAAGTTAAGTTTGGTAGAAGTTAATCTCCATGGAATTTTGTTCTCTGAGATGGATGGTTTGGTCTTCTATCTGAAGTTTGTGCTGATGGTGTCATTCAGAAGAACGATGAAAGCTCCAAGACCAAACCATCCAGCTCAAAGAATAAAACTCCAGCAAAATCATCCACCTGAGCTACGAATTCTCTCCACCATCCCAGAAGTTAATCTCAAATACCATACCCCCATATTTAATACATGACGTTATCCATGATTCAGAAGGGTGTAAATTTATCAAGAAAATAATATAATTTAATAGTTGAATTCATGAGTCAATTGAAGCTAGACCACCTTGGAATACCTGGAAGCACTAGACGGCCATTTCGTCCTAGTATGGGATGATGAAACATAAAAATACCAGATTAAGACTAAACGAAGAACATATGGTCAAATAAACTTTTCTGACAGTATAAGAAATTAGAAATCCACAACATGGATGTAATCTGACTTTTTTAAAAGTGCAAGCTTAATTACCTAACTGTCCACGAGTGCCATGATAACAAACCATTAGAAGTATCTTCATATAGATAAATTACTACAAAAAATTTTTTATCAGAAGGGGTTTTTGTGTATATTATGTTAATTTCAATAGTTGAGATCATGATTCAATTGAAGCTAGACTACCATGGAAAACCTGGAAGTACTGGATGGCCGTTTCGTTCTATTGTGGGATTCCTCAGCAGTGTGCATCCACAGTCCCACCTCACGAGATCCGAACCCAGGATCTATTAGTCTCGCGCGCGAACGCTTAACCACTAGACCACTGATCCGGCTGGCATCCAAAAGTTTCAATGTCTAACTTCAACTAATCGACGAAACTGAGTGACACACTCACCATTTTCTTCTGTGAGTTACTATCTCACAACAGACCCGGTTGAACTCTACTGCTCACTGCTTCTCACTAGAACTTCAGGAAATACCTCTTCAAGCCAGTCACTAGTGAGCATTTGCTTCCGGGTTTTCCATGGTGGTCTAGCCTTGATTGACTCATGATCTCAACTATTAAAAATTTTTACCTGAAATTATTTTATTATTTTTAGATTTTTATCAAAAATATTTTTTACCTCGAGCTTTAGCAGTTTCAAAATCTGACTTGCACATTAGTTTCCGATCACGTAATAGATAGAATTCATCGCCTGTATTTAACATACGAGCACAGCTGACACATGAAAAACAATCTAAGTGATATACATTTTCTTGAGCTGTCCGAACAACTTCCATTGGTGGAATACCTTTATCACAACCTGCACATTTTGTTCCAAAGCGACTAAATAATTAATTTAAGAAAATTAATATCATTTATATACTTACAAATAGATATCTGCTTTGATTAATGAGTAATATAAAGGAAAAGTTACCATTTATGTTAGTTGTTTTACCAAGATCATGGTTAAATATAGTCTTTTTTACTTCTGGCCTGCATAAACGTTATAGTTCATTTCTGTTGATCATAGATAAACGGTTCAATGAAATGCTATTCAAAGAAGAAGTACTTGATGACTATTCTATAACAGAAACAAGCACTTGGAGTTAATTCGATTCAAGAAAAAAAAACATTAAAATATCGAAACATTTTTGCTTCCAAGACAACTTAATAATGTGATTGCCATACTGACTCCTCCTATGAAAGTGATATTTATCAACATGCTTTGGGAATAATCATGAATTCTATAAATGATAGATCTCAAGTTTGTAGAGAACATGACCAGATTGATTCATAATCTCGATCAAAAACTTAAGAATCTCCACGACCACATACTGTTGATATTTATCTACCACGGTATTGAATTCGAAGAAAAACTGAAGTTAAGCTGATTATCAGGAAAATTTGATTGATCGATTTAAAAGTATCCGTCTAACTACTAATCATTATTGATCTGTAAATTAATTTATTTTTTCAGAAAATATGATTTTTTTTTCAATCTCATTGCATAATATTTGTCTCTATAATCGTAGATTCAATGAATCTTACAATAGTGTGTGTAATCAAGATCACTATTAACTAACTGAATATGACCCTAAACCATTTAAATAGTAATTATTATACATAAAGGAAAAAATATATACAGCAATATGTGTTATAAGACAACAAGGCAAAATGTTTTTATCATAAAATGAACACGTGAATAAAGGTTAATAATGTATATGGATTAATCTAATCTATCTTATAATTTAAGGCCTATAATACATTAACTTATTAACTTTTTCTCATTATTATTTTTAATATTCTTATATTGACATGAGAAACATGAGAAAACTCACCTTATTTGAGTTAGTTTGTATTGTAAGAGATTATCAATAAGCTTTCTATTCATGCCAAAATTATAAAAATAACAGACAACTTGTATCTAATAAATTTCATGACACCTTATTTAGTCTGGAATTGTTTTCTTCTTCTTCTTTTTTTTTCACCACAATAATAACAAATATGAATAATACTAATAATAATATTGATAATAAATACAATGAGCATGAATAAAATGTCGCGTTTATCTGTCAAGAAAACAAACTACTGAAATTTCTATCTTATTCTAACAAAATAATCTACATGTGTGTCTGTATTTATCGATGAGGGAGGGAGGGAAGGAGGGAAGGGGGAGGCCGGTATAATTAACGAATAGTCAGTTAAGTGAAGACTGAAATCTCCAATGAAAGGGGGTTGTTGATAGATAAATAAATAAAAGAATGAAGTAAAAATTCGAGAAAAATTAATGAATGAAAAATGTTCACACACATACATATATACACACACACAAAAAAACAGACAAACAAAACAAATCCATTCCTTTCTTTTTCAATCTAATGGATAAACACCATTTAGTTAATTAGAAAAAAAATATATATATCTCTCTGAACAATAATAATACTAAAAGACACCTCAAAGAATATAATCCCAATTTAGTTAATGTTCGAATAGATTTTGAGGAGTAAATGAATTATGCCTACAAAGTGATAAAACTATTTATTTCTATTTTCAGTGTAAATATTCCTCTTTCATTCTTAGTTCCCTGTTCATATATCATTATTACTAGTAGTAGTAATAGTAGTAATAGTGGTAGTGGTAGTGTACAAAAATGAAAGAAATGTTAATAACAATACTACTAAGAATAATGTTTAAGTATGAAGTACAATGTTCATATTATTTATCTACTTGTTTTAAAATGATTTATTTTACATTCACATAATAAAAATGATATACACAGACATATTTAAATAAGTGTAATTTAATTTAATTGACAATTGAAAACAGCTAATAAATAATTGTGACTGATTAAACCTACAATTTTTGTTGTGTTTTTGTTGTTGTTGTTGCAAATTCTATTATACTAACACAACTGACAAATAATCGATTATAGGAGAGAAAAAAAGGAGCATTAATATTCATTCATTGAAGGTAATAATCCTGATTGATTATTATCCTGAAGAAGTTCAGACAAGTTTACTGGACGAAACGTTGGAACTATTTTAAATTTCAACCACTGAGATTAATTCAAATATAATTTTCACATATAATGACTTCTCTATACTCGGTGCCCAATCATTGTCAAACTATTCGTTCTAATCTTGGCGAATATTCGTATTGATATTAATTCTTTTTTGAATTAAGTGCCATTAAAAAAAAAACTATTTGGCATTTCTTCATGTAGTTGTTAATGTATATGGCAAGTAAATTTTATTTAATGAAGCAAAAGGTATTTATATCAGAAGGGGTTTGGTGGATATTATGTTAATTTCAATAGTTGAGATCATGAGTCAATTGAAGCTAGGTCACCATGGAAAACCTGTAAGCACCGGTCAACCGTTTCGTTCTATTGTGGGATTCCTCAGCAGTGCGCATCCCAGGATCTATCGATCTCGCGCGCGAGCGCTTAAGCATTAGACCACTAGGCCGGCATCCAACGTTTTTAATGTCTAACTTCAACTAATCGACGAGATTGAGTGACACATCCACCATTTTCATCAGTGATTTACGGACGAAACGGTCGTCCAGTGCTTCCAGGTTCTCCACAGTGGTCTAGCTTCAGTTGACTCCTGATCTTAGCTATTAAAAAGGTATTTAGTTTACAAAAAAAATGATATTCAGTAGTAGAATAATATTATGTGGTTATCAATACTGGATAAATCAATATTGGGTCGACTTTTTTAGTGTATAATCACTAGTCTGAATGATTCAATATTATGGTGTAATCCACTCGATGGTAATTCATTAAAGATAACTATCAAGTATTCGTTCGTTTGATTGATGTATGGATAACCTAAAAATGTATTTCTAAATGTAGATGGTTTTCGTATGAATAACAAATATATATATATATATATATATATATATATATATATATATATATATATATATATATATATATATATAATCGCTAACTTACCGAAAAAAGTCTTCTTTACAGTACAGTTCATCTGTTCGTACAAAACATTTCTCTGATAATGAAGTACCACAATCCATACATTTCAAACAGTTTACATGCCAACTCTGATTAAGAACTTGTAGAATAGTTCGATCCATTACCAATTGTTTGCATCCAGCACATTGAGGAGCTAGTTAATAATGAATTAGATATGAAAAAGAAATAAAATGAATGTAGAAATAATGATACAACTACTCCATGTTATCACCATCCGTATAACACGAATCTGCAGTGAAAGGTAGTTATTTTAATCCATCTTTTAAAGATTTAGAGCAAACAAAATCATATTTAAAGTAGGGGGTTAAATACCGAAATTCCGATCTTTTACTACAATGGATAGAGAGATTTAAAAATGTGCTCAATAAGATTGCTATAATTTAAATGAAGTAACTGAATTCGCTAACTAACTGTGAGATAAACAATGGTATCATTTTGTAAGAACAAGGTTTTATCTCAGACGAATACAGGATATTTAAGTCTCTGCCTAACGAAACTCAATGAGGTATGTGGTAACAAAAAGGCATTTATTATTCCTTCAGCTATTTAAAACACTGTTTTATTTAATTCCTCATCATTTTGCTTATCAATTACAACCTTAGAAATTCGAATAATAAATTTAGCTTTTTCTTGATAAAAAAAGGTCTCAATAAATTGTAATATGTTCCGAATGAAGAATTTCGCATAGAGAAAATGTTACTTACTAAGGTTAACATTTCCCATAGGTTACCAATCATATGTTATTTGGCATTATTCAATGTTCGTAATTACCTTAAGGTATTACACGAAGAAACCTTAAAATGAATCCGTTTTCGAATTTCTGGTGTACAGCCAATGATAATAATAATTGTATACTCGATAAATATTCGTCAAGATTTGAACGAGTGGTTTCACGTAAATTAATCGACTACCAATTAGAAGATCGTAAATCACAAATCACTCGTAAAGATCTCAGTGGCTGAGTCAACGAAGGTAGATCTTCTCACATTTGCAGCTCAAACTCCTTTTTTCCGGTATAATGAGTGTTATATTTTGACGAAAATGAACCCACACCAGCGCCTGTGTCGATATTAAAACTTTTATCTATCTCAAGTCAAAATATGTGTGATTTTAACTAAGCAAATAATACTTTAGGTGTCTGTATAATTAGAAAAGTTTTTTTCATCGATATTCCACTGGATATAATTTTCCGTATCTCTACGGTTTGTAGAACAAGATGTCTTCACGAGGATCTTCCTGAAGTTTTTGCTTAAAAACTACGTTATTTGTTGTTGAAACGATTTGTGGTGGTATTTTTTGGGCTCCAAGTTAATTTTCATCCACGACACCGCATGCATAATTGTGAATGTACACTCCTGACGAGTGCCATACTCGGAAGAAAAGGCCATCCTATGTTTTTAGGTTTTCAATAGTGGTCTAGCTAGGTTGACTCATGAATTCAACAATTAAAAGAAAATAAATCCGTTCACGGAATTAAAAATATTAAACTGATCATTCTTCTACTAGCCAAACTAATGAACATCTAGAGTGTATATTATCATCCAGTCTCTTGGTTATGTTTCTTCTAGAGAGAGAAATATAAGTTATAAAAAAATACAAAGAAGATTTGTTTCCTGATTAGAATTGAAGGATAAAAGTAATACTGTATAATGGATGATACTTAAATAATGATTGTTTTCATAGTATGGTAAATTCCATATTTTTATTGATAAACAAATCAAATTTTATTGTATGTATCAACTACTCATACTCTCATATCAACTGTTAAACAGAATATGAACCATAACTATAAACAGTGATAGTTAATTCAAAGCAAAATGTATTTGGATACATTTTTTCCCTTGGACTGAAATTGGTTTGAAAAAAATATATTGAAAAATACTAGGGATTGAAATTTATTTTATTTTTTTATTTATTCAATTTATGTGAGGGCTGGGAAACTACCCTGGTGACAAAACCGAAGCAGGTGGCTTTCTTGGGGGTTCATACCCCGAGCCTTTGACCTAAAAGTCTAATCCAAAAGGCACTGGAACAACTTCAGGTGATGCAGTCCCATGGTAGCCGGTGACCAACAATAGGTTTATACGCCATTTGTTTCCTTCAGGAACCTGGAGCTCAGAGTTTTCCAACTCCCTGAGGTGGATCCTCCATATCCACCAACCCGGACAAAGCGCCGGACATTCGCATTTCGTCCTCTCAATTTCGTAATCGAAATCCCTACCACGAGAAAGCATTGAGTAGGACTTCCCTGGCAGTGGTTGTATGCACGTAGCCATTTGAGAACATTTCGAGAGGGAGAGTTGACGCTCCCAACTCTCAGCCGTACCAGAGCATTTAGGGACAAGGATTGAAAAGTTTTATTCATATCAGTGTAAGGAACACTTCCATCCATAATATTTTCCAATTCAAAAAAGTGTTAAATAAACTCAACTAAATTTATAATAACATCGAATTTCCCAATAACACTCGAAATTGTAGTGATATACATAATAATAATAATGAAAACAGTGGTTCTGAATAGTTGTCAGTTAAAATATAAAAAAAAGGAAAACTTCACAATTACAAAAAAAACAAATGAAATTTCCATGTGACAAAATCTATTTAGATCTATATTGATGACATGATCTATTGTACACAAAAATGATATTCGGCTTTTATGATTAAGGTATTTACACCCTTATTTATGTTAAATAAATACATTTATACAAAATGAAATACTATTTTTCCCATTATATTTCTTGTCATTAATATCTCACATAGAGATTTATTTGTCTGACGCGTGTATATATGTATATATATACAGTTAACATAAACCTTTCAAGACATTTCCATATTCATAAATCATTTGGTCAGCTTAACAACAACGGATAGAAACAATTTCTTTTTTTCTTTTTTTTTCAACATAAAATGTGGGTTCATTCATTAACGAATATCTGCTGTTCTTACTTTGAATAGAAGTTATTTATTCATATATCTCTATACAATTAAATAACAAATTTCATTGTATTCAACTATAAATGCTTTGATTAAAAGTGCTTTGTTTTCTTTCCTAACATCTAATTTTTTTTAAAGAAAAATTGGTTATCGAATAAATCAACTTGCTGAAATTCTTGTTGTTAAATCGCTACTTATATAAATTAATGAATAAATCCATACAATTTTACTGGTTGAAATCATGAGTCGATTGAGGCTAGACCACCATGGAAAACCTGGAAGCACTGGACGGCCGTTTCGTCCTAGTATGGGACTCCCCAGCAGTGCGCATCCACGATCCTGCCCCCCGCGAGATTCGAACCCAGGACCTATCGGTCTCGTGCCAGGCGCTTAACTTAAACCCATTCTGATAATAAAAATCCATATAAAATAGTATCTGTATTCTACAAGTATTTTTTGTAGTTATAGAGAGCTTGAAGAGATTCTCTGTGTTTCCGATTGTCGTTAATTTACTAATGTCTTATACAAAATCCATATACTTTTACGAATGATATTAGATTATAAATCGTTATTGAAAAGACATTCTTAGGAATTTCTCTTGGACAGATAGATAGATAAGTTTCTAATTCAAGCCAAGTTTTTTTTTCATGAAGGTGAAAATGAACACAATAACTTGCTTATTTTAAATTATTTAATCAAAAGAAATTTAAATGAAACTCTAATTATGACCTTCTACTTTGAACCTACACATTCATATTGATATATTGACTTCATTTACATTCAGGAGTGTTACTGAAATCACCGCATTCAAAGAAGATTAAGCAGAGGGAATAAAATAATATGATAAATATATTGCATTTCAATGATATGCATATACATAGTAATAAGTTTACTATGATAATTAATTAGATGAAATTCCATGCATTGTTCATAAGTCTTACCTTACCGCCATGGTTTGGTAGAAACATTGCCGCAAGTCTTAAAACTAAACAAAATTAAAGTATTCTACAGAACAACCAACTTTCGAGATGCATTAGTCTGAGTCTTTCTACTTATAAGCAGAATTGTCCCTATAGAAGTGGTTGTCTTGATTATGATCTCTTCTATGCTGTAGTCTTCTCATGATACTTCATGTTACCAAATAATCTTGTGAAACTCGAGAATCTACAAATTAGTCTGTTTTCATCACCCATCAAGTCAATAATAAAAATATCAAAATAATTCTAAAAGCTTTTCCCAACTATAAAACTAGGCGAGTAACTGAAGCTTCCCTTATATGTTCCTAAACCCTACTGCACTCAATATAAAAGATGTTGGTATCCATCTTACTTGAACCATCTTTCTAAACAAATATACTTAGTTTGTTCAAATCTTATGTCATCGACGCACAAACTGGATCTGTTCCTTCACATCAAAACATATTACTCTTGTCATACGCACTCAGGGTTTCGCGAATGTATATGTATATATCACACATCTGATCTGAACATTATGACATCAGCATAATCAAACTTATTTAGCAGTACCAAATATTTTGTTATGTCTCTCTATATAATTTAAATTTATATTAATTTAACTCGGTTATTTATTCTCTGAACAAAGGACTCATACTGAGTCTTGGAACATCGTAAAACCATTTTTTTACTCACTGGTGTTTAACAAATATACTGCTTTATTCTTATCAACAACCCTCAATCTTAATTCTCATTTGGTAACGGTACCGTATTATGTGTTCTATCTCATTAATCTTATTTATATTCGTCATTATTGTCTGCTGAAATTTCCTTCTGAAGTTCTTCAACAAGTGAAGCTTTAGATAAGTATTTCAAAATTCACTAATATCAATTCAGCAGTAGCTTAGATCTATTTTCATCGAAAATGTATTAAGTAGGAGCTATCATGGAGAACTTAGTTACTAACAAAATAATAGGTTTGCTAGTATCTGGGTTTGATATAAATTTCCAGAACGTCGACTGAGAATAAACAATCTTAAAAATTAAGTAGTCTGAAAGTGAGAACAAATACTTTAAGGTGACTTTAGATACTGGTCTTCTCAATAGATTCGCAACTGACTATTACCAGCAAAATAATCCATCAATGTTTACTTTTTTATGAATTCGAGGGCTAACTCCTGAACTTAGGTATGCGTTGCTACTTTGGAAGGAATTTATGGTTCGTAACCAAAGCTTGAGGCCAACC